CTTGCAAGCTAATAAACACATGAAAAGCTACTCCATGCCATGAGTCCTGAAGTCAAGTCAAAACCACGATGAGCCACCCGCCCGGAGAGCTGTAGTCAGAAAGACAGGAGTGTTGGCCTCGATGTAGAGACACTGGAAGCCTGATGCACTGCTAGTGGGGATGTAAAATCATGCAGCTGCTTTGGAAAACAGTCCGGTACTTCCTACAAACATTAAATACAGTGATCTCATGATCCATCAATCTCATTCCTAGGCATATAACCAAGAGAATCGAAAACATATGTCTACATAAAACTTGGATATGAAAGTTCACAGCAGCATTATTCATAAGAGCCAAAGAACAGAAATAATCCAAATGTCTGCCGATGGATGAGCAGGTAAGTAAACGGTGGTGTGTCCATTCACAAGGAGCTGGTCATTCTCAGAGCGGTCCATGCCCATCGGTCGCTATGAGGGAGAGACATGGTGCAGATGATCTGCTCCCCGAACGATGTCGCATCTCTGAAACCCCGCCTAAGGTTGCTCTCAGTCAGACTCGCCCTGATGGCAGTGGATGGGTACAGCCAGACAGCAGATTTTCATTCGTCAATGAAACGAGCTGAAGTTCAGACACGTTCTACAACAGGGGTGATCTTGGAAAACATTTGGGGAAGCGAAAGAAGTTAGTCACAAAAGACGACACCGGATAAAATCCTTTCCAGGCAGGAGAGGGGCAGCAAGAGAGAGGAAGGCTCCAATGAGATGGATTTGACATGGCAGTTACCACAATGGGCTCAAACCTATAAACAACTGGGAGGCTGGCACAGGACCAGGCAGTGTCCTATTCTGTTGTGCACTCTGGGTCGGAGTCGACTTGACGGCGCCTAACAACAACACAGGCAGTTCCTGAGCTAAGCATGCGTTCTAGTCCTAAATCCCATCTCCCCAGTGGACACTGATTCTATGTATGAAAGCATTAAAGAAACATAATATCATAATAGTAATACTATGTTGATGCCCATGGCCGAGTTGTTATGACAAACCACAATAGGCATTATAGTAGCTGGTCCATAATGGGATGATCATAACCCCGGGGGCTTTCCTTCCAGGAAAGAACAAGAACGGGTAAGTCCATAGAGAAAAAGAGCTTCCCAGAGGAAGACAGCAGTCTGCCGCAGCCTTCGAAAGCCTATAGAGGGTCACTAGGAGTCAGAACTGACTCCGTGGCGGGGGTCTTGGTGGGTGGCCTTGTTGAGCTTAGGCTGGGGATGAGCTCTGGTGGCACAGTGACTAAGCATGTGTGCTGCCAAATGAAAGGTCAGTGGTTCGAACCCAGCAGTCGCTCCACAGAAGAAAGCTGTGGCCATCTGCTTTTGTAGAGACTGCAGCCTCGGAAACCCTGGGGCGGGAGGGGGAGGGTACAGTTCTCCTATGCCCTATCTGGTTGCCATGAGTCAGAATGGACTGGGTTGCAATGAGTTTTGGGTTTTTTTTAGGGCTGGCAATGTGGAGGATTGACTGCTGTTGGACTACAGGGTTTCTTTTCAAGAGGACAAAATTATTCTAAGATTAGATTGTGGTGGTGGTTGTATAGAACGGAGTACACTGAAAAAGAGTGAACTTTATCATTTAAGTGGGTGAGGTATATGCCTTGTGAATCATATTTTAAATATAGCTGCTTCAAAAACAGGAAACAATGGGTCTAACTTCATGGTCCAGAATTATTAATGGTCTTTCTATAGACCAGAGAGAGAGAGATGCAGCACTAACCAGAAATGCTCCTGAGAATCTGCAGTTAGGAGAGTAAGAAGCAACCTAACTTCTACCCGATCGTGAGGTTTTTGATCAAAACCTACGCGGAGCAACAATTATGAAGGACCAACCAGACTCTGCTCCTGATCCATTAGACTCAAAGAGACCTTGCCCTCCTCCCCACTCAGCATCCAAAATGAGCATTGCCTTTATCAGCGTCATTCCTCGAAGGTGCTCCAGACTCCATCAGCTAGTAGGTCGCTGGGATCAAACTGAACAAAGCTCTTCACACCTTGTGTCCACCCAGAAGCAAACAGCTAACAAGGAGTCAGAACAAAACATTGGGGATAGTAGAAGGGCTGCCGCTCTCAAGCTCAGAGAAGAACACAGGTGTGGTCATAAAACTGAGCAGATGATTTCGCTTTCGCTGTTTAGAAAATGAGAACCCTCCCAGGTGACCTCAGAGGACTTGCGTGGACACCATGAAAAGGATGCCAGCCTCTGTCAGCACCACTATCGTTCCCTCGGGGACAAAACAAAAAACGAAACACTGTCTGCTCGATGGCCACTTCAACGCATGTAAACTTTTCATTCACAAAGCTCAGGACTTCCGCTATAACACCATCTTTGTGAGAGCTCTGAAATCGCTCTTCCAGTCAGGAGCAGAGCATCTCTTGTAAGTTATAGATTGCATGATCTCTCACTTTTTTTATGAATTATGACAACATGTTTGCGCCACTCACCCCCAGTTCCAGATAAGAGCTAGAACTGTCATATTTTTAGTGTTCTGCTCTGCTACTTAGACATCATTTAGATGGTATTCCTGGATCGTTTGTGAAGGTAAAATAGATTTATGTGGTCCAGTGAACTGTTTGATACGGTCCGATTCTTTTAGGCATAGACTTTTGCAGCTCCAACCAAATAATTTTTTTTCCTGATGGGTCTGGGTAATAAAAGGTGAGGGAAAATGCTAATAGGATTAAATGATTCAGTTGTGAGTGATTGTGAAAGTTGGGAACTCAGAAGATGGGTCAAATCTGCCATCCTTCGGATGAGCATCTCAGAAGTGGGCAGAGAGGATCTCAGTACCATCCAGAATAAAGAGCTAGGAGTGGAGGACATCCGCGGGATCCTGAGATCACTACACCTTGAGCCTACTTTATCCAGAGACAGAAAGCATGAGTGACACCAGAGTGACAGCAGAAGAGAGGTAGCCACAGAACCAAGAGCCAGAGCATGAGAGTAGTGGGCTTCACAGCCTACAGAGGTGGTAAAGTTGAGTGCCTTCGGGCAGGGGACTTGCTTGTGGAGTGAAATGGGCCTCCAGATATTTACCTGGGCAGCTGGTTGTTGACTTATGGAGCCAAAGCAGAACCTCTTGGATTAAGCTTTATGACAGAGTGGAGGGTCCTTTGAGCATTTATCGACACTGCTAAAAGAGCTTTGCAACCATGTACCAGCAGAGTCCAGGTCAAGTGGCTGAGGGTCAGAGAGCGGCCTGCCTGCCAGCAGAGCAGAAAAGAGGCTGTCCTGATCAAAGAACTACATCCTGGATATTTCTGATCCTGAACTGTCATCTGGCATCTTCTCTAATAAAGTCCATAATCATGAGTATGGGGAGGATGGTCTTTGAGTTCTATGTGGCCATTGGCAACAACTTATTGAACTCAGCTGAGAAGCAGAGAGTACTGCCGGAGGGGTGGTTGGTGTCAGAAACTTGGAGGGTGAGGTGTGCCTGACCTTAGCCTTGTAGGAGTCAGTCTTGAACTGATGGGCTTGGTTGTCCTCTCTTGTAAAGCCAGAGAAGATCAAACACTGGCCCCACATCTTTGATTATACCTTGTCTCGTATTAATTCTAATGGTATTTTCTGGCAAAAGAACCTATAATACTTTCTAATTACCTGCTGTCATGGAGTACTGATTTAATACAGTGCAGAAATTTAAAAACAAAAAACCCTCTTTTTGGCCCATCTTGAGATGAAAGAAGTCACAAGGCTTTAAAGTAAAACAAAGAAGACCAAGGCCTAGTTGCACAAAGCAATTTACTAAAGGTTCTAGTCAACAACTACAAAACAAAATCTAAACCTACACACAAACCCCAACACTCATCAGCATGAAACTTCTTTGATATTCCAGAAAACTACATCCTTAACAGTAAGGAAAGGTATGGTCTTTTCTGGATCCTAATTTTTTCTCTCCTTTTGCAGAGGGGCTTGCTTAGATAACACAGGGAGTGAGGTTCTGTGATAGAAACAAACGGGGGTGTGTGCGTGTGTATGTGATATCACTCTATCTGGTCAGACATCCTGGTTTCTGCCTGTCATTTCCTTGATCCAAGATCCTGTTGATGTTTACATCCTTTAAGAAGTCTATCAAATATCTTAATAACATAAATGGTCCCGCTGGAATTCTTGTTTTACTCCCGTAAACCGTTGATGGAAACATATCAAAATGGTACCTTTTGATTTCTTTCCTCATTATCCAATCACGAGTAAAGCCACCAAAAAAAAAAAAAAAAACCCAAACGTTGTTTATCCCCTGGGGAAATGCCAGACGTAGGACCTTCCTTCCCTTTTTTGTTTAAGCAAATGGAAAAGAAACTTTTAAGACGGGGCAGTGTAACTCAGAAAGGTTACAGGACGTTTCCATTAAAACGGACCCCAGCCTTTGGTAATGACGTTCGTGAGCGATGTTTCCTTAACTTTTATAGCTTATGCGTCTAACATAAACAAAACCAGTATCATTTGAAACAGTTACGCATTTGTCTGCAGTTGGTTCTAAGTATTCAGCCCTCTGCCAGCCTAAGAGAAGGCGTTCAGCACTTCGACTCCGAATAACAAACCATAAATCAGTTGACAAGCTTGAACGAATTCAGTTCAGATCTGTTCGGAAGCCAAGTAAACACAGAAAAACCCTGCTGGCGTGTTGACCCTGCTCTGCGTTTCGCGTTGGACCAACACAGGGTCAAACGCACAAGGCGTTTCTCGGAACTTCCTGGCTCCAGAGTAACCAAACCCCGGGCAAACCCAGCGCTGGCATCCCTTTCGGGAAAGGGGGCCTGTGCCTTTAAGGTAAAATCGGCTCGATCCCAAAAGGCATTCCACTCCTCCACCACAAAGAGTTTAGGGAGCACAGCTCCGGGCTACCTCCGAGGGACTTCGAGGGGCTGCGCCCGGCCGGCCGGGCCCGAGCCCTCCCCGGGGGCGCTTGGGGAGCCAGCCTGGGGCCGCGCGCGCCCCTGGGCGCATCCTGGGAACCCCGCACTCACCGCTGCTGGGCTGCGGGGACAGCGTGGACACCGAGGTCTGGCCCATGTCTCGGGTCGCAGGGCCGGCTCCAATCACGCGGCTCTGTGGGTCCCGCGATCATGGGTGCGCGCCCAGACAGCCGTGCCCGCGGTCATTTCCCGGCCTGTGCGGCGCTGCCCGCCGGTCCCTCGCCTCCGCCCTGGCGCGGGTCTCCGAGCCCGGCCGGCCGCAGCCGGCGCGGCGGATCCTGCCCAGCGGATGCCTGTCATTCCTCTATGCAGATTAGCTGGGGTCAAGGGTCACGGGGAGGAGGGAGCCAGGGAGCCCAGGCTGGTCCAGCGGCAGCCTAGGGGCTGGGCACCGCACCCCCGCAAGGTAACAGAGGGTTCAGGTGACTCCCCTTTGACTTGCAAGGGTCAGTGTCAACGGATCCCTTAGGGCTGGAAGCAAAGGAATTACAGTCCTTAGTCATGGTTCTTAATTTAAGAGAACGGGTTTCTTTCAAATTAGCCCTTCCTGACTTGCTGTGTGCAGTGACTTTGGGTGCTGCTTCTGGGTTTTAAAAGTAGCTGTTAACAAAAACACAAACACACCTTGGATGGTCTCAGTCAAGTCCTGAAAGAGATCTGAGTGATGGGTCCACGAATCAAAGCCCTGCTTACTCACTGCGCTCCTCCTGCCCAGAACCCCAGGATGCTCCCCACTCCCGAAGGCCAAGGGACTGGCTGTGGTCTGTGAGGACACTAGGGGGGTGCTTTAGATTAACTAACACCCTCCAAATAAACCCCATCATCGACAATGATCATTTATTTCAGAATATGTTTCTTGAACACGGGGAGTCTCTGGGTAGCATAGAGTCCATCACACTCCATTGCCCGCCAAAAGCCCAAGTCCTCCCAGAGGTGCCTTGGAAGAAAGGTCTGCAGATCTACATGGGAACAAACCGGCCTCTAAGCCTTATGACACACCGAGTGTCCATGAGCTGGGACCCCCACAGCAGCAACTGGGTTGTTTCTGGTTTGGTTACCACATCCTCTTCCATCTCATTCTTCAAAATCGGCATACAAGTGAAGTCTCCCTTCGTCCTTACAATCGATTGGTATGATGGTCCTGTGAGTGCAGCACACACCCACAGCACACTGTACGAGGCACTTGTTACATACACGTGATCCCTTGGCTGTGTGCACTGTGTGCACTGTGCTTTCCATGTCTTTCAAAATGTTGCTACTGCCCTTGCAAGTTAAAAAAAAATTTTAAGGCAGCATGTTTATATTGCTTACCAGAGCTTTCACATGACTAGGTTACCCTACGTGTTGTTGAATTCTAAAGTACGAGAAAGCTAAGACGATCGCACCTTAGACACAAACAGTACTCGTTCCCAAACTTTGTCTTACTGAGATCATACCGACATATTTTCTTTTTTGAAAGGCCTTTGTGCATGACTGAAGGCGCCATTTTCCCCCCCACCCTCTGTTGTGAGTCAGGGGGAAGGTGGGCTTTTGTTTGACTGCTAACAGAAAGGTCGCCAGCTGGAATCTCCCAGCCAGCGGTGCTGGGGAAGAAAGGCCGTCTACTTCAGTAGATTAGTCGTCTGTGCCATTGAGCCCATTCCAATCATGGAGACGCTAAGGTTATGCTCATTGGCCACCTTATGGAGTGTACTGATACTTTGAAAACCTAGGCTCACCATGAGTTAGCATGGATTTCATAGCAACTTAAAAAAAAACGTTTAAAGGTGGGGATGGAGTCCCTGGGGGGTACAAATGATCACCCCAGTTGGCATGTTGGATCCTTGAGAGGTTTAGTCCACTGGGAGGCACCAAGGAAAAGTCTGGTGATCTAGTCCCAAAATTCCAGTGATTTGAAAACCCAATGGGACACAGTTCCCTGAGGTCCGCTGGGACTCGGGGTTGACGCAATGACAACTGGTTTTTAAACTGCTCGATTCTGTTAGAAAATGTGTGAGAATGTGTTTGAGAACCTGGGGAGGTTAGCAGTAGAACAAACAACCCTAACAGCGTGGCCTTTCCATTGCTTTGTTGCCTTTTTAAAAAACTGGAGGCGAACAGGCAACAGTAGCAAACGATGTCAGCTGTTCTTTGAACAGGAGCGCTGTGAGGACTGTTCAATGCTGCCTCTCACGGCAAAGTCCTAACTAAGAGCAAGGCCACAGGTTACAACCGTGGCTCTCAAATTTTACCTGGCCTTCTGCCCCTTTTCAAGAAAAGAAAAGAAAAAAAACCTACAGCGTCCTCCTGGCAATTTAAAACGTTGTGCTATATAGTTCAAAAGCCTGGATACGTGTGGGCGCCTGCTTTTCCAGCCACTCTGGGTCATTCCAGGACCACCCCGCCCCCTCCCCACCAACTGGGGCTTGGGGAACATGGGATGAGAAAAAAGATCACATTGAGTGGGCAGAGTAAAAGTAGATAGGCATTTTTTTTAATTCATTAAAGCTACACATTGAGCTGTAATGCTGCATTTTACTACCATTATCATGCTTTTCCTTGAAACTCAGTAGTGCTTCTTTTTATTTCATCTTCAGGTTCATATGTCAAACCTTAAGGATGTACTCTATAGCGCTCATGGTCAAGATTTGAAAATGTGTCTATATTTACCTCATTCAAACCCTTTCATGATTTTTCTCCTTATTACACCCACGATCCTCCCATCAGGTTATATACTTCTCCCTGACACTTCAGCGTCATTACATTATCCTTACATTATCCGTCCATCAGAACCCCAGGAAGTGCGCATCATGGTTTCTTTACAAGGATGGGGTAGTTATTCTATTTTGTTTCCGGAGCTTGGCATGTCTGGCCTTTATTTGATAAAAGCTAACAAGGTTTACTAATAAAGCTAGAAAACACACACACAGAGAGAGAGAGAGAGAGAGAAATCCTGGCATTCCATTGCTAGCTCAGAGCAAACAGGTCAGAATGTAACCATGTAACAAGAGTATTTTAATTTCCCTCCAAATTGTCTCTCATCTTATTAGAGTTCATCTGCTATATGGTTGCCAAATCAGACCATTGTACTGTGTTTTGTGTATGTGAATCCCATGATTGAACTTTGAGAATGTTTGTCATGATTTGAAAAAAACATGTTAAACAATATTAGTCCCCGAACTATGTGTGTTTACTTCTTTGGAGTTTATTCCATTTGCCCTACCCTTTGTTCTGTATGGCTAAACCAATCTCTTGCCCAGAGGACTTCTGGGCAGTGCTCAGCAGCCCATGCTGGTGTAGGGTAGGCGAGAGGGTAGGGCGGGAAGACTGATTCCTGGTGATTGCTGAGCTCCATGACTTCAATATCCCTACAATGGCCAACTCAAGCTATCATTCGGTTAGTAAATGTTATCAGGGGGCTTGAAAAATTCCTACATATTTAACAATAGGTCCTGGAGTGTGTTGGAGTTGCTGTTAAGACACAACACTTTTATCTGTTATAATACGCTGTCATCAAACTAACCGGGGCTGACTTTGAGGAATAAGTTACATTAACGCTTTCTAAAAATATAGATATGATGGAATCTAGTCATTTTTCCACTCAACAGGCTAAGTATTTGTCAAGCCCTGGAAGAACGCCTGTGGTTTACTCACTGACTTCCAAAAAGAAATTAAGTGGAGTGGATTTGTTAGACAGGATTTCCTCTTCCGGGAATGACGTGGGTGAGCATTCTGTCCTACAACACAGATCCCATGGCCTTGACTAAGAGAGGAGTTAGGAACCTCCCTCGTCGGGAGTACTCAAAGCGATCCTTGCTCTCCTGATAATGGAGTTAACTCACTGCATCTCCTAGATAAAAGTTAAAAGTAGACATAAGCCTAAACTTTAGTAATTGGGACAACTGTGAGCAAGTTCCTTCCTGTGAGGCCCAAGTCCAAACTGCAGGTTTATAGTTTGGTGCTTAAAGAAGACAGGTAAAAATTGCTAGTCATTGCGACCGCATCCTGGGCCATTAACAGCTTTTCCTAAGCGGTTAGTTCTCAGCCCGGAGGGGTGAATTAGGCTCCAGCACGGGCAGGGAGAGTGAGACTTTGCTCCCTCCAAGTACACCTGCCCTGCATACTGAGCCTGGGTCTCTGCCTGACCCAGATACTGCCAACTGTCTTAGGACCCAGGTTGTGTCTCCAGCAGTTGGATGTGGGGGATCCTACAGGAGAGAGAGGTTAGGGAGACTCTCCAAGATGAGATGGCTCATGGGACAGTGATGACCCAGGGAGCAACAGATGACAATGCCCATGTACAAGTAGCTGATGATTCTTGCAGTGAGTACTCTTAGTTCTGGCGTGGCTGTGAGAAAAACAGGCTCGTGTGGACCTCAAGGTGTCAGAATAAAATTGGGCTCCATTGGCTTTGCAATGGGCTGTGATCCGAATGGTCGGCAGTTCTAAA